AGATCGCTGCAGCGTGGGATAAACCGGAATCTGTCGATCCTGTTGTCACGAAAGCACGCCGAGATATGTTATTACTATAAGAATAGTTATAAGCAACCTATCAAATCAAACAAATTTAAATTAAACAAGAAAGGAAAGCTAACTTCGGGCGGAGCCGAAGTTGATATACCCTTGCAGAATACTCTGTAAATTATATTCTCCAAAATTATTCATATGATGCATTCTTAATACTCATCAAAAATCCCAACTTCCTAACTTTAAAAACACGAAAGTTATGGCATTTCCAATCGTTCAGTTATATGGCAGCTATAGGATATAGTCGACCGATCCTTATGAAATTTGATAGGTCGGATTGATTGGCTAAAAATATTGGCAAAATATTCTGAAAAACATCAAATTCGGACTGATTTCACCCTATTGTTCCTATGGGAGTTATAGGATATAGACGTCCGATCGGCACGCGATTTTACCTTAATCAAGGAATGCATAAAAATAAGATTTGGAAAGAATCATGTCAATAGCTTATATACTGTGCGAAATATCCTGCAAATCATAAAATTTTAACCGATTTCAACCTACTGTAACGAACTGTTTTTTATGGTTTGCTCGCTACGAAATTCGTGCGGCTAGCTCAGTAGAATTTGTGCGTTCGTCCCACCAAATTTATATTAAACGTGACCACCCGGTTAACAGTAACAAACTTCAGAATTCAGTTAAGGAGGCGTTTATTTACGGCTCTGGTTGAGAATATTTGAATATATCTTGTGTGGGTGATGCTCCTGCGTCGCCGCTCGGTGATTCCTTGCTGCTGATGGTCCTGGTCGCTCCGAGTACTTTCGCTGCCGCTCATAGACGAGGGCGTGGAGTTGGACCGTTGGGCTTAGGGAAGCGTCACCGTTCTCAGACTAGGGTGAACAGGAACCACGCTCGCAAGACCTTCGTCCTCCCAGCCGCAGCCTCCTGTCCCTTGCTCTGTCCCGGCCGGTCCCGCTAGACGCTCACTCAGTTTCCTTTGACGCTCCGGTACTACGGCCAGATCACGTCAGCAGTCCCTATAGCCAGCGCCCAGAGAAAGACGAACGTTCCACCCTGGCCTTCCCTCCCGATTGTTGCGATCGTACCTGAGGCTCGGCTCTTGTTGCGGTCTCTGGCGGCTTGTCCACGTCGTCGTCCTGCGCGACTGGTTGTGGCGTTGTTCCACGTTGCTCCCTTGAGGCCCACTGCTCGTGTTGCTCACTCTGCTGTTGTTGACGTGCCGAGCTAAATCTGCCTATAACCGACACAACTGATCGGTATTACGGCCGACGCAGCTGGACTAATCGGTATTACAGCCAATGTAGTCGGCCTGGTTGGTATTACAGCCGGCACAGTTAGTCTGATCGGTATTACAGCCAATGCAGCTAAACTGACCGGTATTACAGCCAACTTAGACGCACACGGTTAGAATAAATTGGTATTACAGCCAATGTAGCCGGACTGATTGGTATTACAGCCGGCACAGCTAGCCTGATCGGTATTACAGCCAATGCAGCTAAACTGACCGGTATTACAGCCAACTTCGTCGGACTAATCGGTATTACAGCCAATCTTGATGTTCTGTAGACTTTGGCCGTGGGTTGCCGTTCGAGGACTCAGCTACCTGTGTCTCAATTCGGTGACTTGCTCGGTCCCGAACGCCTCGACGTACCGATCTTGTTCACGGCTGGTTCTCACGGTGGTATATTCTTGACTTTGACTTTTACTAGACGATGTTCACTCGTAGTTTGATGCTCGATGACTGGTCCTGATTCCAGCGCTGGGCCCGTTTATATAGGCCTCCGGGTCCCGTTAATCCTCGGCCATTCCTTTTCTTCTCTCCACTCCAAGGTCCAAAGTCCACGGTTTTACCGTTTGACCTTTCGCCCTCTGCACACGGCACCACACTGAAGTCCAAAGTGCAGCGCTGTACCGTTCCTTCCTTGCTCACGGCACGCCTGCGCTCTCTGGACTCTCGCTCTGTCTAGTGCCGTCTCGATCTGGCGCCTCTCTCCGCTCCGTCTCTCCCAATCTCTCCAAACTCTCTTTGGGTTCGTACTCTGTACATTCTCTCCTCGTACTCTCCAACTGCTTTCTCTAAACTCTCTTTTCCTGCGTTGCCGTTACTACGCGAAGTAGCTGCGTAAGTAGCAACTGGCAGGTTTTCCATGCAGTTATTTTTGAGATATTTTGTGTGGAGTTATTTAACTCCTCACATTCCCCTCTTTCTTCGGATAACGAAAGTGAGCTCGATCCTCCTCTCCGGCTGTTACCCTGTGTATCCTTGTAGCCTTCGAGTCCTCTCGTTCTTCTCCCCGCTCTGGTTCCATCCTTAGACGTACGAATTCTCGTTGTTCCTCTCCGGCTTTTATCCTGTGTATCCTTGTTGCCTTTGAGTCTTCTTGATCCTTCCATCGACGCCCACAGCTCCTTGTTGAGTTATACTGCGCCGATCAGTATTCCTTGACTTTCTCCCACGGAGCTTCCCTCGTCGATGTATGCTTCCTTAAATCCCGATGCTGCCGTCGAAATTTTTAAATATCCCGCTCCAACCTTGTTCGCGGTCTCCTGTGGTTCGTCTTGGTCACACTAATCCTTTGCGATCGATAACATGACTTGCATATCGATATTACCTTGGGGTGGCGTTGCCACCTCATCATCGCGATGTTTATTAGTGTGCCTCTCATATGCCGATAATTCCAATGTCTCGTGCCCATCGATCGGCTGTTATACGATAGTGCCAATCGACAGCCTTATATCGCTGGCGCCCCCTTTCCTAAGCACATTATGACGCGGAGAATTTTTCTTGCCGGTAAGTTTTCTCTTTAATTTTCCATTTCCCCTTTCTCTTAACTTGCTTTCTCTTTAAACCCCCCCTTTCCTTCGACTTGCCCTTGGACCGTGGTAAAATGGTAAAATGGATTGACTGCCGCTACGATCGTTCCTCCCGCTCTCCAGCCGCTACCCCTCCCCATCATTTCGAAGTACACGTGAGTTTGTGCCTTTACTTTTTCTTTTTTTTTTTTTGTTGCTCAACTGATTTGCCTTCCTTTTTCTGTTTTCAGCTGAACGGCTTTCCCAAGGAGATAAAGACAAAGATGTCCTGGGACATATATGGACTGCCGCCACGACCCCCCCCTTTCATCCCAGCAGCTACCCCTGGGCCTGGCCACTGGGTCGCGTGCCTCTGGGGCGGAGATCTGCCGCTGGAGTTTGGGCCTCGGGTTGTCCGTAGGTGTCGGCCACACCCATGGCCCTTTCTCCATTACATCTCCCGTCTCCGGTGTCGGCGGCAACTACCCGGCGCCTTCGCGGCGCACCCTGGGGTCTCGCGGGTTTGATTTTGGAGTGTCCTGCGCTGGGGTCTCCGTCTCCTCCGTGGCCTTCGCCTCGTCCCTGACAGGCCAGGTCCACGTGACGGTGTGTTGCCGCCACTGGACGCCGCCGGCCACAAACGCATTTAGCGCATGCGCGACGTGGGCCTGCGGGATCTCTGTGCGGCAGTACTGCCACTGCTCCTCCCCTCCTCCTGGTCTGGGAACCTCCTCCTTGGTGTGTTCCTCCGGTTCCTCCTCTTGGACCTCCTGGCCGTGCCGAGGCGTGGGCGGTCGAGCCGGAGTCCACTTCGGTGGGTGGGGGTTCTCTGCCTCTGGATGACGTGGAGGGGGGCTGGGATCGGAATCCCGACTGCTGTCCTCGGGCTCTTCTCCCCGGACCTCCTGGTCATACCGTGGCGTGGGCGGTCGTGCCGGGGTCCACTTCGGTGGGCGTGGGAACTCCGCCTCCTGTTGACGTGGTGAGGAGCTTGGAGCGGGATCCCGGTCGACATCCTCCGGCCATTCTTGCGGGCGGGGGGTCGGAGGTGGCTCGTGCCAATTTTGGGGATGGGGGTTTGGGTACTGGTGGGGAACCCATCCATCCGACTGGGCCCACTGGCTCGGGGCCTCGGGTCCACGACTGGCACCTCCGTCGTCGTCGGATCGGGGAGTCGGGGGAATTCCCTGCATCCCTCCTGGGATTAGGGGCACCGCCTCCACCAGAACCTCGCCCGACCACAGTTGGCGTTCCTCCTCTTCCCACTTCTGTAGCCGTTGCTGCCATTCGGGATTCCTGGACCGTTTCTCCTCCTCCGCCCTTCTCTTGGCCTCCTCAACTTCCGCCTCCTTCCGGGCCTTCTCCTCTCCTCGCTTGAGGCGGTACGCCTCCTGGACGATGGCTTCAGCGGAGGCTTGCTTCATCCGCTCCCATTCTTGCTGCGCGGTCTCGAGGTCCTTCTTAACTGCTCTGCGGTCCTCGTATGGGGCTCTCGTGGTCCGCATCCGCTCGACCTCGTCCCTCAGCATCTTGGCTCTCGCCTCAGCCATCTCCAACGAGGTGCTTCCGCTGCCCCTTGGCCTCTTCGCCGCACCCTTAAACGTTCGGGCGTATCCCGGCGGGATTGCGTCGACCTTCGGATCCCTGGCCCTCTTTAGGCGCCACTCCCGCCTCTCCTTGACCGGGTCCTCGGCCCACTCCATGTCGCTCTCGTCCGAGGTGACTATGGGCTCGGGCTCCGAGCGAGCTCCATCGTCCTCGGCACCGCGCCGCGGGGTTTGGGTGGGCCGTAAGATAGGCAGCGGCCTAGCCTCCGACCGTCCTTGCTCCGCGACGGGTCCTTCAGGACCTCGCTGAACCGCGGCCTGCCTCCTTGCTGCTGCTCTTGTAACTCGGGTACTCATGCTGACTTCTTGATTTGATTTGTCCGTTCCCTTGCAATTCCCTTTACCATGAAGCCTCGGTTTCGGGGATTCCTTTTATGCCGTACCGTTATATCCCTATCTGCTCTCTTTGCGGCTTATGTCTTCTCTTTTGGGGAGGCCGTTTTCTCTTAACCCTGCGTGTCTGATGCTGACACTTTCCTCCGATGCCTAGGTCTTCTTTCGTTTTTGGCTCGGTCTCTTCAGTTACCTTTTGGTGGTCGTTGCTGACGCATGGTTTTCCTAGCTTTACGGTACCCCGTACCGTCTCTCCCCTTTCCTCGGTGACATGTATTCTGTCGTTGCTCTCCACGTGTTTTCCTTGTGATCGTTTCGCAGGTCCGGTGAATGCTTTCGTTGATAATGTCCCTTTCCCTTGGGTGTATGCTCTGTTGACTCCGGTCTTTGGCCTGACGTTGAAACGGTTGCCTCTGCCCCATCTAGTCTGGGATCTGTCTGGTTTTTATTTGCAAGATCGTCCTTCTTGTCTATCCAACTCCCTCTTCCGTTGACTCCGGCTTTGTCCTGACGATTAAACGGGTTCTCGTAATCCCGATCCTTTATTCGTCGTTGACTTAGGTGTATGCTGACTTGATCAGAGTTCTTGCTCGTGTTGAGGCGTGCTCCGTTGACTCCGGTTTTGGCCTGACGACTAAATGGTTGCTATTGTCCCATGCGGTCTTGGACGCTGGTTTTTCTGCATTCGCTTGACGATTAAACGATATCTTGTCTCTCTGCCCACATCCCTTTCTGTTGACTCCGGCTTTGTCCTGACGATTAAACGGATTTTCGCAATCCCGATCCTTTATTCGTCTACTGCTTGAGACCTGCCTGTATTTCCGTCCTCGTTCGTTTTGTGTGCCTTCTCCTGCTGCTTTAGATCGCTGATGTGCACTGTGCGTTGCTTCTTGCTTCTTTGGTGGCGAATTTTGCAGATTACGGGGGATACAAAATCGACTACCTGATATGGACCATCATATCTCGGCGCTAGTTTGGCCGCGAAGCCTTCTGCCGCTTTAGACAAATGGTGCTCCTTGGCCCAGACGACATCGCCGATTTGTGGATTCCACGGTCTCCTTCTGAGGTTGTAGTGCCTGGCTTGATCCTGTGCTGCCTTTCCTAAATTTCGTCGGACAATTTCGAAGATTTCCTTCAGTTTTTCGGCGAAGGCGAGTATCCTGTGGACTCGGATATGCTTGAGTTAACTGCTAGCATTACCTCTGGCCACTTTTCGTTCCAGTTCCTTTGGTTTTGTCCGGCAAACTGTGCGATCATGGTTTTTACGGTTCGATTCGCGCGCTCGGTGGGATTTTCTTGAGGAGTGCATGGTGTGAACTGTTGTTTTATTCCCATGTCGTGAATAAACTTTTTAAATGCCCGACTGGCAAACTGCACCCCGTTGTCTGTAATCACCACTTTTGGAACCCCAAATCGAGCGATTATCCGTTCTTTAAACGCCTTTTGCAGGGTTTCTGCTGTAGCAGTTCGTAATGGCACTAATTCTGTCCATTTTGAGAAACGGTCGATTAGAACCAATAACATTTGGTTACCGTGCTTCGATCTTGGCAGGGGTCCAACAAAATCCGCGCACACCGTTGCCCATGGTTCCTCAGGGACTTGTGTCAGCATCTTACCCGCCGCCTGTCGCTGGTTTGGCTTAAATTTTAGGCACTCTTCGCATTTCCGAACGTATGCTCTCGCGTCCCTTTGCATTCCTGGCCAGTAGTATCTGGCAGCTAGACGGGCAATCGTCTTTCGGCTTCCTACATGGCCGGCGGCTGGGGCATCGTGATTTTCTTGCAGGACCTTTTCCCTTAGCTCCTTGGGGACGCACAACTTCCATGCCACCACATCTTCGTTGCCAGCTCTGTGTGGGATCTGCCTGTACAGTGTTTCGCCGTCGAACACATAGTCCGGGAATTTCTGCGGGTGTGTCTTTATCTTCTCGCGCATGTCCCTGATCCAGTTACATTCCGAATTTTGCACCAACTCTTTTGCTCTCCGGAAGGTTTCCGGCATCGGCTGTCTGGACAGCGCGTCGTCTACCACATTCAATTGACCCTTTCTGTACGCGACCTCGAAGTCGTATTGTTGTAACTCAAGTGCCCACCTGGCGATTCTTCCGGATGGGCTTTCAATGCTGTTCAGCCATTTTAGCGCCATGTGATCTGTTACCACCTTGAAGTGGTAGCCTTCCAGGTAGGGCCTTAGTTTTCTGATTGCCCATACAATGGCCAAACACTCTTTTTCCGTTGTCGAGTAGTTTTTCTCGGCTCCATTTAACGTCCGGCTGGAGTATGAGATAACTTTCTCTCCGTCTTCCGTGTTTTGTGTCAGGATCGCGCCTATGCCGTATTCGCTGGCGTCTGTTTGCAGGATGAATATTCTTCCAAAATCTGGACACGCTAATACTGGGTCAGACACCAGTCTCGCTTTCACCTCCTCGAATGCCTGCTGGTGGTATTGCGTCCATAGCCACTTTACGCCCTTGCGGAGTAGGTCTGTGAGCGGCTTAACGATGCGTGCGAAGTCTGGTACAAATCGTCGGTACCACGATGCCACCCCTAGGTACTGCCTTAGCTCACGGATGGTTGCAGGTGGTTCTAGGTGGGCTATGGCAGCGACCTTGTCTGGGTCTGTACCGATTCCTTGGCTTGTGACTCGATGTCCTAGGTACAGCAGCTCCTGCTTGAAGAACTGACACTTCTCGGGGTTTATTCTCAGGTTTGCCTCCTTCAGACGGCGAAACACTTCTCTGAGATTGTCCTTGTGTTCTTGCTGAGTGCGTCCGATAACGATTATGTCGTCCTGATACGCGAACGCATGAGGAGACATCTCGGGTCCAATCACTTGGTCCAAGGCCCTTTGAAATGTTGCTGATGCCGAGTGTAATCCGAATGGCATCACTCTCCATTGGAAAAGCCCCTTACCTGGCACTGTGAACGCCGTGAACTTTCTACTTGCTTCTTCTAGAGGAATTTGCCAGTATCCATCCTTTAAATCCAGGCTGCTGATATAGCGTGCTTCTCGTAATTGGTCCAGGATGTAGTTAATACGTGGCATTGGGTACGCGTCCTTCACCGATTTCGCGTTTATCTGTCGGAAGTCGACACATAATCTCCACTTGCCGGTTTTTTTTTTAACCATTACTATGGGCGAGCTATACGGGCTCTTCGAGTGTTCTATGAAACCCATTTCCAGAAGTTCATCCACCTTTGTATTGATCTCCCCTTGAACTTTAGGGTTCTTAGGGTAGTATCTTTGTTTTATAGGTTTGTCGTCCTTCATGGTGATCTGGTGCTCGGCCACATTCGAAGTTCCGCTCATTGTTTGGAATTCTGCCAGCTCTGCTTCTAGGAATTGCTCGATGTTTCCTTCCTCGCTGTCTTCATGAACAACTGCCACTGACAATTTTTCCTCCAGCCATCCGTTGTGTCTGTTCCTGGCCGGTATGCGGATTTCGTGACCTGCGCACTTTATCTCAGCCCCAACCTGTGTGAGAAAATTCCAGCCCAGCACCAGTGCGTCTACTACTCCTGGTAATATCAGCAGGCTCATGGTCAGTCGTTTGTTGCCGAATGCGACTTCTACCTCGAGCTGCGCGCTTATTCCGCTGCACCTTCCGTCTGCCAACCTAACTTGCCGTCTCGTCCGTGTAATCTTTCCTAGAGCAGCCAGATTGTCCGCCAGCTCTTCGCTAATAAAGCTCGCTGTTGCCCCGGTGTCGATTGTGGCTTTGTACGAGTTTCCACCAATCGTCACCGCTGCGGACAACTGCTGCTCCTCTTCGATTAGCCTGCCAGTTAGATTGGAGAGGAATCCGCGTGCGACCCCCGCTCGCCTCTCTGCGGCTGGGATCGCTGGCCATTTTCCGCTCTCTGACAGCATTCCATGCATCTCACTCCCACCTTTCCGCATATCAATAGCATTCGCTGGTTTCGGCAACCTCTTGCCCAATGCCCGTGTCCGCCACATTTGCGACATGCCTTCTGTGGGTTGGTTATGTATTCTTGGGCTTGGTTGCTTCCTGCTGTCGCGCTTTGTGGTCTCTGGGTAGTGTTTGGTGGTCTCCATAGAGTATTGATATGCTGCCTTTGATATTCTGTTTTCTGCGTGTTTCGCGATGTTTCGGCTGGCCTGCCTTGCCTGCTGGTATCCTCGCATCTTCTACATGTCATCGGAGACGGGACTGTCGTCTTTGTCCTGCTGAACTTATTTTCCTGGGAGAACATTTCCAGCTCCTTTTCGAGCTCTTCGTATTCTGTGGCCAGGATCATGAGGGCTTCCAGGTCGTCGATCTTGTACGTTCTGAGGGAAATTCGTAGGTCAGGTGTGCTGTTCTCCCTTATGACCTCGAGTACTTTCCCCGGACTGTACCCGAGTGGCCTTATCATGGTCTGCATGTCCACCATGTAATCCTTGAATGGCTCTCTGAATCCCTGCTTCCGAGCTTTGACTTGGTCCTCTAGTTTCGCCAAATATCCTCTGGGCAGGAAGAACGTTTGGAAACTCTCAATAAAGTCTTCCCACGTTTTCCAGTGCTGGTTGTTCGAGATAAACCACTTTAATGCTCTGCCTTGTAGTAGTTCTGGCATTGCTCGTGGTACCAAGTCCAACCCGTAGGTGCTCGCGGACCATTTCACCTGTTCCAAGAATTCAAGAGGTTTCTCTGTGCCCTCGAATCTAAAAGACCATTCTCTGACCTGCTTCGCGACTTTAGCGTAGTCGGGCTCGCTAGGTCTTTGTGCCTTTGGGGCTGTCTTTCTATCTTGAATTGAATCTCTTCGCTGGCCCTCTTGTTGCATCTCTTCAATGCTAAGGCCTGTCCATGCGTCTTCTCCCTCGGGGTTTGTTAATTTTAGACCTGGTTTTTCTGGGTACATAGCTTCTAGTTCGTACCAGAGTTCTTTGAGTTCTGGGTTGTTTTCCGTCTCATTGTAGTATTCCACCAAGGCTTTCCGCATGTCTTCAGTTCTACCCGTCAAGGAAATGCGTAGCCTTTGTGCCACATTGGTGAAATCCTCTTTCTTGAGGCGGTAGATCCAACTTCTCCCCATTCTGGTGTTTTGTGTTTTTCTTACTGCCGGGACAATCACGTTTTTGGGCGCCAGATGTAACGAACTGTTTTTTTATGGTTTGCTCGCTACGAAATTCGTGCGGCTAGCTCAGTAGAATTTGTGCGTTCGTCCCACCAAATTTATATTAAACGTGACCGCCCGGTTAACAGTAACAAAACTTCAGAATTCAGTTAAGGAGGCGTTTATTTACGGCTCTGGTTGACAATATTTGAATATATCTTGTGTGGGTGATGCTCCTGCGTCGCCGCTCGGTGATTCCTTGCTGCTGATGGTCCTGGTCGCTCCGAGTACTTTCGCTGCCGCTCATAGACGAGGGCGTGGAGTTGGACCGTTGGGCTTAGGGAAGCGTCACCGTTCTCAGACTAGGGTGAACAGGCACCACGCTCGCCAGACCTTCGTCCTGCCAGCCGCAGCCTCCTGTCCCTTGCTCTGTCCCGGCCGGTCCCGCTAGACGCTCACTCAGTTTCCTTTGACGCTCCGGTACTACGGCCAGATCACGTCAGCAGTCCCTATAGCCAGCGCCCAGAGAAAGACGAACGTTCCACCCTGGCCTTCCCTCCCGACTGTTGCGATCGTACCTGAGGCTTGGCTCTTGTTGCGGTCTCTGGCGGCTTGTCCACGTCGTCGTCCTGCGCGACTGGTTGTGGCGTTGTTCCACGTTGCTCCCTTGAGGCCCACTGCTCGTGTTGCTCACTCTGCTGTTGTTGACGTGCCGAGCTAAATCTGCCTATAACCGGCACAACTGATCGGTATTACGGCCGACGCAGCTGGACTAATCGGTATTACAGCCAATGTAGTCGGCCTGGTTGGTATTACAGCCGGCACAGTTAGTCTGATCGGTATTACAGCCAATGCAGCTAAACTGACCGGTATTACAGCCAACTTAGACGCACACGGTTAGAATAAATTGGTATTACAGCCAATGTAGCCGGACTGATTGGTATTACAGCCGGCACAGCTAGCCTGATCGGTATTACAGCCAATGCAGCTAAACTGACCGGTATTACAGCCAACTTCGTCGGACTAATCGGTATTACAGCCAATCTTGATGTTCTGTAGACTTTGGCCGTGGGTTGCCGTTCGAGGACTCAGCTACCTGTGTCTCAATTCGGTGACTTGCTCGGTCCCGAACGTCCTCGACGTAGCGATCTTGTTCACGGCTGGTTCTCACGGTGGTATATTCTTGACTTTGACTTTTACTAGACGATGTTCACTCGTAGTTTGATGCTCGATGACTGGTCCTGATTCCAGCGCTGGGCCCGTTTATATAGGCCTCCGGGTCCCGTTAATCCTCGGCCATTCCTTTTCTTCTCTCCACTCCAAGGTCCAAAGTCCACGGTTTTACCGTTTGACCTTTCGCCCTCTGCACACGGCACCACACTGAAGTCCAAAGTGCAGCGCTGTACCGTTCCTTCCTTGCTCACGGCACGCCTGCGCTATCTGGACTCTCGCTCTGACTAGTGCCGTCTCGCTCTGGCGCCTCTCTCCGCTCCGTCTCTCCCAATCTCTCCAAACTCTCTTTGGGTTCGTACTCTGTACTTTCTCTCCTCGTACTCTCCAACTGCTTTCTCCAAACTCTCTTTTCCTGCGTTGCCGTTACTACACGAAGTAGTTGCGTAAGTAGCAACTGGCAGGTTTTCCATGCAGTTATTTTTGAGATATTTTGTGTGGAGTTATTTAACTCCTCACACTATGCCTATGGAAGCTATAGGATATAGACTCAGATCGGCACGCGCCTTTACCCTGGTCTACATATGCATAAAAAAATGAGATTGGGATAGATTTATGTCAATAGCTTATACACTGCGCGAAATATCATCAATTCTTGCAAGGTATATCCGATTGTTCCCATGGGAGCTATAGGATATAGACGTCCGATCGGCACGCGCTTTTACCTTATATAAGGTATGCATAAAAAAATACGATTTGGAAAGATTCATATCAATAGTTTATATACTGTGCGAAATATCCTGACAATCATAACATTTTTACCGATTTCACCCTATTGTTCCTATTGGAGCTATAGGATATAGACGTCCGATCGGCACGCGCTTTTACCCTGATCAAGGTATGCATAAAAAAATGGGATTGAGAAAGATTCATGTCAATAGCTTATACACTGCGCGAAATATCATAAATTCTTGCAAGATATTTCCGATTGTTCCTATGGGAGCTATAGGATATAGACGTCCGATTGGCACGCGCTTTTACTTTGATCAAGGTATGCATAAGAAAATACGCTTTTGGAAAGATTCATGTCAATAGCTTTTACACTACGCGAAATATCTTCCAGTCTTGCAAGTTATTTCCGATTGTTTCATGTGTTAGGACGACTGTGAAAGTTTCATCGGTAGCTTTTAAACTGAGCACGCATACGGTATTGAAACAGACGGACAGACTAACGGACGGACAGACGGACATGGCTATATTAACTCCCCTATTGATCCTAAGCAAGAATATATATACTTTATGGGGTCGGAAACGTCTCCTTCACTGCGTTACAAACTTCTGATCAAAATTATAATACCCTCTGCAATGGTATAAAAATGCTCTTTGCGTATGTTCGTGGCCGATGTACTCGAAAAGTTATGAACCGTTTGAGCCCAAATTTTGAAACAATATGATGTTTTTTCAGAATATTTCGCGCAGTGTATAAGCTATTGACATAAATTTTACCAAGTCTTATTTATTTACGCCTACCTTGATCAGGGTAAAAGCGCTTGCCGATCGGCCGTCTATATCTTTTAGCTACCGTAGGAAAATCGTATTTTGGGCGTACCGATCAGACGTCAATATCCTATAGCTTCCATAGAAATAATAGGGTGAAATCGGTCAAATTGATGTTTTTCAGGATATTTCGCGCAGTGTATAAGCTATTGACATCAATTTTTCCAAGTCTTACTTATTAACGCATAGCTTGATCAGGGTAAAAGCGATTGGACGTCTATATCTTATAGCTTCCATAGAAATAATTGTTAAAGGCTGTGAAAATATCCTTCTCCTAATTAATCTACCATCCTTAGCAAACCGTTGAAAGATGCTTGGCACATCTTTTATCTATAAACTTATTCACGGGGAGGTGGAGAGTCCCTAGTTACTGGGTCGCATAAACTTATACGTGCCTAATAGAATTACCAGGAACTAGGTTCCTCCTCCTCCTATGATATGCATGAACGGTTTAGAGTACTGTGTAACGACTATAATAGACTATGCCATGTTATTTCTACTACCGACTCTTTGCCAAGCCTAAAAGCATTAATTTGATCTGACTTAGCACATAATTAGTATTAGTATTAGTCTCGTACGTATTTCTAACTTAGTCTGTCCGCTTCTATATTGTCCTTTTTCACTTCTCGCGATCTCGTAATAGGGCTCCGCGCGTAACAAGCACTGCTTGGTGTCGTAAGGGCCAGTTGTTTGCGCTGATCATAGTGCATCAACGTCCGAATATGTGTCCAAAAATTAAAATTTAATAAGCAGGATCAATGCAAATCCAATGTTAACATTGGGGAAAGTAAGCCATTTTTCCCATTCGGAGTCCTTTGCGACATTTTAAAGGACTTACGCAGTTGCAAGGCCAGGAAAGCGTAAGGATCGTATAGAAGGACAATGTCAGCCCCCAGATCCCCTCAACACGTATCAAAGTTAATGATAAGAAGGACTTTAGTAAGGATATTCACCCAACAGCCTTATTTCAGGCCCTGCATGATGGTTTCTACAAACGAATTGAACCTAGAAAAAATCCATCGGCTTGAAAAGGGTACTAACATAAGCTCTTTGCTTAGGGAAAGGATTATTATATCATTCGAGAAGGTTGAAAAGACCCAAAAGTCGATTGGCATACTCAGATATATATTTCGCTGCACTAAAAGGTTGTTTTGACATTTTAAATCTATTGATTTTAAATCCTCTAAATTGCATAGTGATACGTTAGTTATTTCCCACAGCCCCCATGCAAAAGTTAAAAATATTCATATACATACAGAGTAAATGAGTGATTTTTTTTAAATTGGTAATTATACCCGTTACTCGTAGAGTAAAAGGGTATATTGTATTCGTGCAAAAGTATGTAACAAATAGAAGGAAGCGTTTCCGACCCTATAAAGTATATATATTCTTGTTCAGGATCATTAGCCGAGTCGATCTAGCCATGTCCGTCTGTCCGTCTGTCTGTCTGTCCGTATGAACGCTGAGATCTCGGAAACTATAAAAGCTAGAGGATTGGCATTTTGCATGTAGATTTTAGGAGTTCCTACGCAGCGGAAGTTAGTTTCAAAATGGTGCCACGCCCCCTCTGACGCCCACAAGCCACAAGCTGTGGCCACAGTTTTGATGCTATTATGAAAATTTTAATTGATATGTATTAAGCTATTTGGTTTACTTACACGGGAACACGAAACATACAATTGTCCGTGTGAGAAGCAGTTCCAAAGTTTGCCCATAGGCTTTATTGATTGTTATTGCGAATGCCAATCTAATTGGGAACTGAAATCGTTTAAATTTGCACAACATCTTAAGAATATTGTGTTAAAATTTTAGATCGATCCGAGTAAAACTTCCGAACTTATTGGCAGTTGAACGTAGGTAAGTAAGCTCGTTTTAAACTTTGGGTGCCCCAAACTTAAAAACGCTTTCTTGAAAAGTTGTCATTTCAAAGTCGGTGTACACGATCATGCAAAATCTATCAAACGCATCGGTTTGAGATTTTGGACAGTATTTCTCTACTAAATTCCTCAGGAAACGCTGTCGAGAACTTCGGAAAGCCGAAAGCCGAATTGAAAAAGTAGCGAAAAGAATAAGGTATACATATACTACTTATACTGCAAAAACGTCATAGAAAAATTGAAAAGAAGGGATATTTTCGCCGCCTTTCTCTACTAAATTCCTGAGGAAACGCTGTCGAGAACTTCGGAAAGCCGAAAGCCGAATTGAAAAAGAAGCGAAAAGAATAAGGTATACATATACTACTTATACTGCAA